TTCTCCAAGAATCGAAAACTCTATCTTTTCATGATCGCTATGCCCAGGACAGCCTCCAACCATCACGTCACCCACAGGTCCTTCTCTGTTCATAAACAACAGGTCCAGCGGGGCACCTTCCCTAGTTGGCTCACACACCAGCTGTGTCAAGAAGTTATCTTCCACACACTCCAGGAACCTCCTAGACTGTTTCCTCTCTGCTGCATTGTATTTCCAGCAGACATCTGGTAGTTTGAAGTCCCCCATGAGAATAAGGGCTAGCAATTGTAAGACTTCTCCCAGGTGCTTATAGAATATTTTGTCTGCCTCTTCAATATTTTGTCTGCCTCTTCAATGTATGTCATTCCTGACACTTTCATCACCCTGGAGCTCCTTTCTCTTATTATATCACTAAGTTGGGATTGCATGGAACCCTCTTTACTTCATTTAATCATATAGCTTTGTAATCTGAGCATCGTAGCAGCTAAAATTCAGATGAACGTGTGCATGTTTCATAGAATCATAAAATCATAGAATAGTTTGGGTTGGAAGGGACCTTTGAAGGTCATCTAGTCCAACCCCCCCTGCCATGGGCAGGGACATCTTCAACTAGATCAGATTGCTCAGAGCACCGTCCCACCTGACCTTGAATGTTTCCAGGGATGGGGCATCTACCACCTCTCTGGGCAACCTGTTCCAGTGTTTCACCACCCTCATTGTAAAAAATTTCTTCCTTTCTCTCCCAAGGACACACTGAACTTCAGAACTCAGTATAATACAGCTCTGAAGCAGAAGGCATGATTGTTGAACAGTCAGACATACGATACAGCTATATGATCTCACAGGGACTAGGACCACAAGGATCACCTCTGGCTCTTTGCCAGCATTTAAACACAGAAATGACCTCCCCTCCCATCTGGAGAATTCAGGAGCCATCAAGGGCATCCAAAGAAATGGATGGGCAACCTTGTCCCTGAAGCAGAGAAGGATAATAGCAGAGTGTTCAGCAGATGCTCAGCTGCTGTTTCATGATGAAGATAATACAATGTCTTTGCAAGCCAAAGGGAGAACAGAAGCACAGAAACAGCAGATAACTCAAAATATGAGATCTAACATGTACCAACTCAAGTCAACTTTCTATGTCCTGCAGGAGCAAATACATCCTCAGAGATACTTAGAGGCTTTCTACCAATCACAGCAATCCTAAGTTTGTGTTCATGTTGCTTTATGACAAGAATAGCTACAATCAATTATCTTCTAACAAAAGAGAAGAAATGAAAACAATCATAAACTTATTGAAGCCTCTTGTGTAACTACAATCCCCTAGGCACAGAACTTTTGCTTCAAAACAAGGAGATGCTATTTTAAGATTGTATTTGAACAAACCTGCATGTTTTCATTTAATGCTTTGTCCTGTTGCCATGGTGACACAGAAGCAGGCATATGAAAGGTGATACAACCATGCTGAAAACTCAGTTCAGTGATATAGGTGATTTTGATCCCAACTTTAGAATTTGGAGATAAGTTTCCAACACTTATTACAAAAATATCCTAAAAAAAAGCAACAAAACCCACAAACTAGCTTTAATAACATCATTAAAGCCTATGTTTTCCAAAACAATAATTTAATTGGTGTTTACGCACACTGAAACCAAATGCTAACACAGAAATGACTGTTTGGTTTTGGTGAAGTGTAAGGAAAAATGGGACTGTGATATGAAATGTCAAATTTCCAATAATTCCTTAATTTCTGGCAAAAACTGATCAATAGTAACTGAATAAATCAATCTTTTACAAAAAAAAAGGAAACCACCTGAAAGAGAAAAAGCTGTTTTATTGAAGCCATAGCACATAGTTGAAGAAACAATAGTTGTTTTTAAAAATGATCAAATGTATGGTCCAAATAAGTTCTAGTAAAAAGGAGTTTCCCAACAAAGACATGCTTCAGCAAAGAATCTGTAATTGTACAGCTGCAAAATTTTCAAATAGGTACTAAACCATGATATTCAACATACCGGTGCATCCTGGTCCATTAGATAAGCTCCATCACCCTGACTGACAGCTTTCTGATATTCCCTATGTGCTTGTTTCTTTTCTTTAACCTACAAAAGATTGTTCCAAAATAAGTAATTTCATCTCTATAGACAGAAAACTGGACCAATATTCTCTTAAATGACATTACTATCTTGAAATCCAGTCAAGTGGTAACAACAAAGGACATGAGAGAAACCAAAATTAGTGTTGCACATCTTCATTACTAATTAAGGGCTTTCAGATCTTGAGATTGAAGGACCTACATCAAAGGCAAAGCACAAGAACATTTTACCTCTCCAATGACATGTTTTCCATTGATAAAAGCTTCAAATCCACAAACAGCAGCTTTATCATCCAAAGGAAAGACATATTTAGCTTCAATTGGTTTACTGTTTTGATTGGTGTAGGTCTGAAACATTACTACCTGAAATGAATATTTTTTGCGTAACTGTAAAGTTAAAATGTGATTAAAACATCAATACTTTTAAGTATAACAGCATAACTGCTTTGCACCACAAAATGTCAATAGGCATGCCACAACTGGAACTTCTATTTATAGCTTAGAAATGAAGGTATAACATTCATCAGTGCTTGACAAACAGGTATCTCCAGAAACATGCAAGGAGCTATAGAACTTTTAATGTCTAAATCATTAATCAAATCTCTTCCAGAAGAAGAGTAAACCATGACGTTCTAAAGGTTATCTGATATACTGGCAGAGCTGAAGCTATCAAGCTACTGCCTACAAAAGAAGTCACCACTGCAATATGTCTATAATAGTTTCAAGCCAGTAAGGACTAATAAGAAAGAAGAGTAAACCTCCACAAAAAATTGGTCTATTTTTATGATATACTAAAAGGAGTGTTTGGAAAAGCCTATGTTATTCTGTATGTATAGTATCCATCTTCTAATGACAGAATTTCTGTCTCTGAGGTGGCAGATTGCATCTGACTTTCTTCTCACATCTGCTCTTCTGTTTACTTCCCTTGTGTCGTAACAAACTCTAGCAATTTGTCATTCCCCTTGGCTACCATTCTTATTGTCCCTTGCCATTTTGTCATTTCTGGTTTATGCTCTGTACCTCAGCCTTAGACTGTTTTCTGCTTTGATTGACTGGGTCATAGAACAGATGCCACTGGATTAATTAATTCCATAGGAAACCAGACAAAAATCAAAACAAAACCAAACCAAAAAACAAACAAAAAAACCCCCAACAATCCCTCATGAGAAGAACTCGTGTTCAAAGGAATCACACTGATCAGACAACAGGTGTGACTGTCAGAATAGTTTAAGCACAGACTCATTTGCAGACAATTCTTTCAAACCCTTTTCTCTCCTGTTTTCCCCTGCTTTCTTTTTTAAGGCTTTAGCAACAATGTCTAAAAAAACATTATTTACTTTCATGAAGCTACTTTGGCACTGGAAACCCCTGAATACAGATTCTTGTTGAAAGACACGCATGTGACAGAACTCAGTAAAGCCACAGCTTTAGCATGATCGAGACTGCTTCAGGCAGGATGCAGTTGAAGGGGGAGGAGATTGTGGAATTATGCCCCAGGATTGGAAAAGACCTGTGACTTGACAGAATGTGTTCATAGAGGACATGTACTAAAAACCAAGGTGGGCCCTTATTTTAGCCTGCTTAGCTAGCTTTTATTAGCTAATTTTTGGGTTAGAATAGCAAGTTCTTTTGCACTGATTGGTATCTTACCTGTGACAGCTAATTTAGATTGTCTAACCAAAGTCAAAACCAAAACACAAATATATTTCCATAAACCTTTAATCATCCTAGGTATTTCTCACTGGTTTATAATTCAGCTGGCAAACAGATAGCCAAGGTGGTCTTTTAAAGGGAACAGAATGCATACAGTACTGCAGAAAGTTTCTTTACAGTGGTGACTTGATTATGCATAGGCAGAAAACAGATTTAAAAATAAAGCCAAGCCTTTTACTGTCCAAAGAGCTTTTGGCATTTGTTTGACTACACATCTCTAAGAATAAAAACTGTTTCCACTCATTTCAGGACTTTTCTTCATTTAGAGATTGAATTGCCTTTTTTTTTTTGCAATTAACTAAACACTAAATAGCATTTTGACTAAAACACTATTTAACAAATGGATTAATTTTTCAGGGCTGAGTTATGGAAAAGGACACTAAATAGCATACTCTATCTGTGCTACAAAGTCTATTATCCTGGCCTTGTTATAAACACCTTCCAGAGGGACAGGATTTCCCAATCTGTCCTGAAGACCGGTTTTTACAGGATTTGAAAGATTTGCATTTGGTGATGCACAGCCTAAACAAAGAGTTTATAAAAGATTAAAAAGATATTTTTTGAAACATACATTTGGGAAAGATGATGGAAACTAATCCTATATCAACGGCCCATGTTTATTTATGCAATTCACAACACAAAAGTAACACTCAGTTTCTGTTACGAATACTTGTGTTGTATTGCTGTCTATCTAAGAGATCATGAGTTCATGATAGTTCTTTAAGGTTTTACAAGGTCTTTGTTTAGAACCTTGTATTTGAATGATTTATGCAAAAGTGCTTCCTGTGCTTCTCTTGAAACATACTGTGACAGGCAGAGTTGCAATTGCTGTTGGTAATTATGCCTATAGGAAATCTGTTAAACAGATGCTACACAGATACCACATGGTAATCACTAACTTGGTAACATCCATAAATAAACTACAAATTATTTTTTATTATGTTATCTTCATATATACAAGTACTTTAAAAAGGGTTCTGATAAGTATTTAGGAAACTGTGGAAGCAAGTCAATATACAAAGAGAAAACATTTCTTACTCTCACGCTGTAAGTGACATTGCGACTCTGGCTCATTGTTATCTTGCTCCAGTTCCACCCAAATTCCAGGCTGAAATGGCTTTATTTGATCTTCAGCAAGGCAAAACTTAACAACATATCTAATTTTAATCTGACAGGTTTTATACACAACAAATTCGTCATCCTGGTAGAAACAAAGAAAGGTATTTTACAATAAAAACAAAGCTGTAGATAATATCTAAAACAGTTCAAATGGATTAAGAGGTGAACCTAAATGACATATCATTTTTGAAAAATAATAAGAATCTGACAGCTTTTATTTTCACTCCCCTAATCTCTCTGTATCACTACCGCTTGCATCTCTTATCTTCTTACTTTGTATTTTCCACACTCCTTATATTTCCTCTTCTCCATAAAGCACAATCATTCCTCAAAATAACCAAGAACAAAAAAAGTAAAAAACTGGTGGATATATAGAGAGCAACTGTTCTGTTAGTGTGCCACTACAGTATCATCCCTGCCTTAGAGTACCAACCTATAAGGACAGGGATATTTATCAGCTGGATTCATTTACAAAACAATGAATCTTCCATAGTAGTGATTTCTTATTCCATATAAAGTAGAATATCGCTTCCAAATAACAATTTAAACATCACAGACCAGATATTTATATGATGATTCAGTTATAATAAAACATAATATTTACATCTTTCTTTTAAGTATTGTTGTCTTGCAAGAATTCTTTACAAATACAATTTAGAGGCTTAGAAGTTTTATATGCACTTTACAGGCTGCAAGACAGACAAAAGTGATTTTACACATTACTGTCTAGTGATTTAGTGTCTGCACTGAAATGCAGGTTACATTCATTCTGTTATCTATCAGTAGTATAATAAATCCAAAATTTGGTGCCTTTTCAAATGCCCAATACTGCAGGATCAGTACCTCAAAGTCTGAAGAGATGTCTGCTGTTTTATGGACTCCATGCACACTCATAACCTGATGGTGCATTATTTAATGAATAATCTTGTTCATACAAATCTAAGCAGGATCCAGGTGCCACGTAAAAAACTACCAGGAGCCGCGTTCCATCCATTTCACTGGGTGAAGAATATTTAATAGTGGCACTATATGTAAAGAATGATCATACACATTTTATTAAAATTTATATTAATGTAAACATCATAGGAATTTAAGGACACACAAGTACTTCTGAACAGATGGACAGGAATAAACTTTATAATTAAATTACCTTAAAAGTATTAAGCATTATATCTACTTAATTTGAAAAGTAAAAAGAATACACAAAGGATAAAGTAAAGAGATTATGTCGTTATTCAGACCTAACAGAATCACTGAAGTAAATGCCACTGCCCAGATTACCAATGTCAGTTCTTTCCAGGCCACGATCTTCAACAACCACTTTTGGCATTAGGAGTCCTCTAGAGAAAAAGAAGGTCACACAATGAGTGAAGTACAAAATACTTTTGCGTATAGCATGTGGGCTAATACACATTTTGCAATTATGAACTGCAGAGGATTAAAAAAAAATACACTTTACAGAAACCATCTATAGACACTCAAGCAAAATAGTCCATTCATAAAAAAACATAAATCCCAAAGTCATATTAATCACCAAGACACTGATTAAATAAGCAATAAAGACTGTTAGCTTTTCTTCATTTAGCAGAAAAACAAGGCATTTTCCAGATTTATTGCCAAACATTCAAAATAAATTTTTGGTTATTAGATGAGTAGTTCTACATTTCTAGCAACTGTGCTGTATTCAATTTCAAAAAACTGTATGAAATTTTTGTATCTAAGAAAAAGGAAGTATGAGTTTTAAAGGTAGAATGCCAGGGAATGGATACTTGGAAACTTTTCCAATGTTTGATTTGCAAACCTATTAAGTGTAGAGATACCATCCTTAGACTGTTTATGAGACATTTGATTTACTACTGATTGATGCCCGCAGAAAACATTTTATATATAAAGAATGTAAAAAGACACAATATTTAAATAAGTTCAACGGTTTTGTAACTTACAATTAAAATCTGCAGTATGAGGAAAACAGAATACTAATATAACTTCTGAGGTATTTTAATTCTGATGGTGTTATATGTATCAGACATGTTTTTTAAAATATCCTTAAATTTTCACTGTATACATGCTACGATGAGGATTTAAATGTCAGGCTACTAGAGGTTATATTATTTTAGCATTATTATTCACTCATGCCTGAGTGAATCCATGGTATTCAGCCACAGAACTAGATATTCTGTTATTCCAGGAAATTATGATAATCTAAAAATATGCCAAATAATGTAGTTGTGGGGAAATAATATATAGGAGTGGAAGGAGGACATCCTCAATGCAATTCTTTCCTAAAACAGAGGAAGTTTTCCATACAGCCACTACTCTCCTACTGTCTCCATTTTATCATCTTTCATCTGGATTTAAACCACACTCATCACCATCATATCCAAATAGCTGCATCTAAGTCTAATCTACCTGGAGAGTAATTAAATTTATCATTACAAAAGATTGATTTTCCTTCCAGAGATCTGTAGAAGCATATGGATGTTCATATAAATATTAACAGTAAAAATCAGGTTAAACATAATACAAAAGAGCTTCATTAAAAAAAAAAGTAAAAAAGTATTTTAGAATATAATTAAGCCTGATTCAATGTCACAAAAAAGGGAATGTAAATTTTTACCTGGAAAGAATTCCCATGAAGTTGCGCACAGACGATGCATGGAATAAGGATCGAATGTTTCCAAGACTGCTCAGAAATTCTGCTGTTTCAGTTAATCTGCCAACCCTATACACTTGTAAAATTTGCACTGGACAGGCACTGCAAGGAATTTGAAATGATCTTTGAGATCTCATGACTTAGAAAGTGCATTTAAGATCAACACACTGCTAAAAGATAAAGTCTTATTCTAAATCTCAAAGTAATGTTCAACTTTTTCTTTTTTTTTGTTAGCAATTTGGGTGGCAATTATTAAAGAAAAAAACAGCATAAGAGAACAACCACCAGAGATATTAAAAACTTAATGACTACGTTCAAGACCTATTTAGACTTTTAGGGAGAAATTGAAAATGTGTTTTCATGCTTAAAGTCATATGAAATTATCTTATTTGACATATTGGGATCTAAATTCAAAGATGTGACATACAAAACCCCATATAACTCTATGCAGCTCAGAGTCTGTAAGTATATAAATTATTGCCAGCAAATTTATTTTGTACTAAAAATTCTTTTACTGAAAATATTCAGAGACCTCACTGTCTTGGCTGAACTAAAAATATCTTAGCATTACAGTTCAGGCTTTCTGGAGGTAGTAACTCCCAATTAAGAAAGACTTCCCAATTAAGAAATACACTTGAGAGGAGGAAAACTTGGGTTGCAATCCCACCTCCAGCAAGATTTATGCATTTTACATACAGTAGTTACAGGACAGAGCTGTCACCAAGATTCCTGTCCTTCCCTTCTTGTGATTACACGAAACAAAAGATTCAGATTCTCTCTTTACCTCTTCTTACCTTTATCCTTGCCAGCTGAATGCTCTACTTAGCTACTGTGTAAAGGTCCGAGTGGAGAATAGTGCGCCTACCACCCTCCCTCTGCTTGAGCAGTCTGCTGTTTACACGTGCTCAGAATATACTTCCTCAGATGACAGACTCTGGACTAAGGACTGAGCTGCTTAACAGTGTAAAGACAGTGATACCCTACGAAATACCCAGAAGATAATTTTAGAATTCTAGGATTCCTGTCAGACAGTGAGGAACCTCTGGATTTACAAAGTAACTGAGAAGAGGACTTAAGGATCACAATTTTAGATTTAGATACTGGAAGTAGATAGTACCTTGAAAGTAAAAGCATAAAGCCCCGTTTACAAATCAAACATTTATGCTTTCAAGATTCAGTGAGCTTCAGTCAAGTTTCGAGTTCCTAAATGCTAAAATAATATTGGTAAATAGGACCTAACCTCTTTTGTAATTTTGAACATTTTACTCAAACTGTGTGGTTTCTTATGTTGAGGATTAGAGATATATTATGTCCTAATTTGTGAAGCTGCTATATGAACTTTTTTATATGAAGGTGGTTTGTTTGTTTGGTTTGTTTTGTTTTTTTAAAGAACCTTACTTGAACCCTGATCCTCTGCAGTTGAAGTTTTTTTAAATTGTTTTTAGATTAAAAACTAAGATTGCAAATGCAGAGACTGAAAGGGAATAAATATGCTCCAATTCTTGCAATGTGATTATGCTTATCTATTGTATAAGAGTAGAGTCAAAGTTTTGCAGGAAAATCCTGTCCTTACAATTAGTTAGTTTATGAATTAGTATATAGGCACTAACATAGATAACTGCTGTCTACAAAGAGCAGTCCCGTGGATTCAGGTAACAGCAAATTCCCCAAAATTCCCCCTTTATTCAATTGTTTCTGTCACAAAGAACTATAAGGTAGAACTGAGTCACATAAAATATTGTTCTATTAATTTTAAATTACTTAAAAATTTAGACACAATGTCAAGTGAAAGTCAACTACTGAACTTTGCTGAAGACAAACAGACGTTTGTGTATTCCAAGCACAGTGCTCCTTCCATACTTGAGCAATATATATTTGGGTATAACCACTTAGTAACCAGTAGTTGCTAGGTAGGTTTAGACCTTAGCTGCTTAACAGCATATTTACTCAGTAAAAACAAACTTGGAGTGACTATATATGTATACGTATACATATGTATGTGTAAATGAAGCCCACTTCATTCTTCCCTGTATTAATGATCTAACCATTGATTATTCCATTTCTAGAACCATCTTCTCTTTAATTTCTCCATATTTACCCATTTTTTAATTTTATTAATCAAAGAGAAAGGGTGCCCAGTTAGAAGCCGATGTCAAGAACATTAAATAGAATTATAGGCAAATCTGCAGAATAACTTCCCAGAAATATGTCTTTTTCACACAATTGAAAGCTAACTAGAAAAGGATGGCAAGTTCTGTACATAATCAAAAGGTGACCAGGTATCCCCTCCCACCCCATGAAGTTTATTCACACGAAAAAAAATTATTTGTTTTACTCAGCAGAACCGAAAGTTTTACTTTTATGGTTACTTTCCAGTTATTTTATAAAATGCCTGGAAATAAATACTGAGAAGCAGAGTAAACAAGTCTAGACCCCATATATTTTATTGTAACAGTTCGTATAAATAGACAGCTCTTCACAATTTAAAAAAAACCAGAAAGAAACCCCACCAAAATTGACAATTTTTTTTTCTTTTTTTTTTAATTTACCTCCATTTTGTTCTAGTGTAGGTTATGGTAAATATGCTAGCTCTGCAATCCCATTAACACAATCAACACTGCACAGTAACAGAATCTGATAATTCAGTCCTCTTTAGAGGTATTTTGTGCACTATAGCTTGAATTTTACTGGAATCATTGCGTAAGTATTAAACACTCACTTGTAATTGTTTTTTAACACTTGTTGTTCAATATTGAGAAATTCATAACTCGTTGAGTCAACAGCTTCTATCTTGCACCTCAGAGCCTGGTACTTGGCCAAAGCTGATGGGTTTGGGCATGACATATTTGTTTGATGTATATTAAGCATGTCTCTGATTAGCTAGAAAATACAGACAGAAATTTATGAATACTTGTTACATTTTAATTAAGGAAACACGCAAAGCAGACTGAATTATATAAAGTTGCAGCGTAGTAACAATGAAATGGAATAATCAAAAGAACATTTCCACTTGTTAGATACAATTTGGAACAAGAGCAAACAGCTGTAGAATCGCACAAAAAACAAATCAGAAGAACAAGGTATATGAAAAATAGTATTAAACTGCTTCTGTACAACACCAAATCAAGCTTTGGATGGAGCCTGCTAACAACAGCTCCACAAACCAGTATTTATGCTTGGTTACCATTTTGATTTTGCTTATGAGGCAATTCTTACTTGTTAGAATCTGTCATTTTGGCCCCAAGGCCACTATCCAGCTAGGGCAGTAGCACGAGGTACCCATGTAATTTTCTCAGATCAGGAGAAAGAAGGACATCTAACTTTAAAACGATTGTAATGCCACACTTCACTAAGCCATGGGAAAGCTTTATGAGACATAGTAACTTTTTGATATCAGAAATGTCAAAAGATTATCAAAATTTAATTATCAAAAGATTTCCAGGGTTAAAGGCACTATTAACATTTGTTCTTTTAGAACAGTAAGGAGCCTCCTTCCCTCTACCCCTTCCCCTTTATATTTTGTAACTTACAGAAGACTGACTTCTAAATATCCTTGGCCAAAAGAAAGAGGTATCTCTGGCAGAATCTATGGAATTTACATCATAAATGCAGTCCCAGAAGGAAATTTGAGTTTGCTCTATAGTTACAAGAGTGATGTAGCTGTCAGAGCTCTGCCTCTCACCTCTCCAGAGGGCCTGGCTGCTTGGGCTCAAGGCCAGCTTTGACAGTGCAGCTGTGGAGCCTTGAAAGAGAGCTGTGAGAAGACTCAGCAGATTCCTGCCCTTCCTGTGCTCAAGAGATGCCTTTGAGCTTAGGTTCTTGCCCTTGGTCTCTCGGCTGAGCTATGTTGCCGATATGCCTGCATCCAGCCTCCCACCTCCCTGGTTCTGACCCAGATCCTGTGGACTCGAGTTCCGGGTTTGACCTTGGATCTGCCAGAGAAGCCATAATGAGAAGGCAATCTGGATTGACCCTGGCTACTATCACCAGCAGTCACTGTCACCTGCTGTGCTCTTCCTATACGGGTACCGCGGGACTAGAGCCGCTGCCAGTGTGTAGCTGCCCTGGCCTTGCTCACTTTCACTCCCCAACCCCGTCTGCCTGCTCTTACGGAACAGCCAGCCCTTGCTGCTGGGCGCAAGGGCTGCACCTCTGTGTGCACTCAGCACACCTCGTCGGCAATCCCCCCGGCAGGCTGAGAATTTCCCAGCTAGTTTCTGCAAAGATGAGACAATGGACTGACTTGCAGCAGAGTAACGGAACTCCCGATTGACTGAACTCCTAGCCAGCTTAAAAATGAAGGAACTGACTAAGTAACACAGAAACTGAGGGGGAGCTATGGGGGAGATCCTCGTAGATTCCCCTAGGCAGGGCAGCTGTGCTTAGACCAACTGAAAGATGTTATCTGTTTAGATGTGCTGACTAACTTCTTGCACTAACAATCCACACAGTCCAGGGAACTCCCCCGAGCAGTTTGTGCTGTAAAAGTAGGAACAGACCAAGCTGTACATAAGTTGGTAATTTTAAATAGTCTCTAGAAACTGTTCCTGCATATGCAGAACAGTCTTTGCATACAGTTAAAATAGCTTAGATATATTTTGTATATGGTTTAAGATAATCAATAGAAACTGATTATGTATATGCTGGAGATCTTATATGATCCAGCTGAAGATGCCATCACAACAATGATTGCAATGGAAACTCCTGTCACCATCTGGACAGCAACTGGTCTTCCTGTTCAAAACACTGAATTCCTTCCATGAGTGTTACTCTATTCATAAGATTCCAATAAATTATTATTTTAAACTGACAGCCTGTGACTAGCTGTGGAAATTATCCTGTCAATTTATCTAGTGAGCATGTTCAAAACTGGTGTAGCACAGTGCAGATCAGGGCTTACTAGCAATCTGGAAAAGTTACCTGACACAGGTCCTGTTTTCTAGATAGCAGCTTTTTGGAAACGTTATAGTCTATTTCAGATTTGTGACGTATAACTTGATAGAATTCCATCATCATCTCTTGTAGTGCCACCTCAGCAGCTCCCTCATCCAGTGCATTCTTTACTTGGAGTAAAATACCTTCTGCTTTGCTCACCTTTAAAAGAAGAGATTATTAAACTGAAAGCTATCGCAAAATTGCAGAAAGAGTGCAAAGCATCAAATACTGAAAATAGATCATTTAATTCCGCACTGAAATAAAACTTGAACTCATATTAGTGCAATATCCACAAAATATCTTCTTGCAGCTAGGATATAAAAACAGTATTTAAAAGTTGGATATTATTCTGCCGTTATACTGGGCTACTTGCAAAGTACCTCAAGCAGAGCTAAGAGACAGTAAAATAACCTCCCTGAAATAAAATGGAATATGAATCAGATTGAAAGATAACATTCCTTAACATCTTGTTGATTCATATTGTCAGCTTTAATGCATTGATGAAATAACAGAAAGTAGAGGATAATAAATTTCTTACTAAATGTCTAAGTGCACTAGTTCATCCTAAAATACATAAAGCAGAGTAGAAGTCGTATGTATAGAGTGCAACCTACAGATGAAATGAAAGTAATGATTAATTTTAGGCAGTTTATCAGACAGACAGGATATAGATTTGCTTGTATCTGTACATTCCTTCTCAACTGGAAATTTTTCAGAGGATACTCTATATTATTTTGTCTTCTTAAAGCAGGAGGAAAAAGACAAAATGCTTTTTAATTTACATGAACCACAGGCAACAGCTAGTAAAATGTTGACATTAGGGGCTGCATAGCAATGTCTTACTGCAGTTCAATATTGATTATTGATCCAAGACTGGTCCCTGTCTCACAAATGCCTTTGGGAAAAAAATGGAGAGTTAATCTAACTGAACAGCAACCCGCTTCTTAATTATTGTGTTTCAAAAATCCAGAGATTTTTTTTTCTTTCAATACAAATGCTATTTCTCTTGCAAATTAATTATAAGTGTGAAGAGTTACTGAAAACAGCTTTATCATATTCTTACAGATCGATGCATTGAGATACAGAATCTTTTAGGTCTATGGTTCAGCTTTTGCAAAAGCTACCAATGATTGAACGTTATTTATTAAATATTTATCAAATTTCACCTACCTGAAATATGTTAGGAATCTCAATATCCAAACAATTGCACCTCATAAAAAGCATTTACCACAAACAGCATTTCCTTATGTCTTTGCTGATTTATGCAATGCACTCACTACTGTCTCTGAGTACACGTATACAATATTACTGATGTACTACTTACTCACCAGAACCTACATAAATGTGTATTATTTCCATATCAAAAAGTGAAAGGAATATTCTTCTGAATATCAACTGAAGAGCATTAAAAGTGAGTTTCATGTAATAAGATTAGGGCAAAGTTATTCCAGAATTGAGGACCTTCTACTGGCAAAGCTCTTCCAATTTAAAACCAACATAATCTTCAGGTAATTTTGCCTTCAGTGATAACAAAGATGAACAAAACTCTCATCTTAAACAGTCATTTTATTGGCTGTTTGTTAAGTTATATGAACTTAAATTACATGAATAAACGTTAACCTCTTAAATGTCTAGGGAGGAAAGCAAAAGAATTGAGGTATGTGAGAAAGTGGGATTAAATGAGCCATAGGCTTAACAAAGGGGTGGATAGGCAGTTACTCTTAATAACAGCTGTAATATCCAAAGGCCTTCAAGAGTGTGTTAATTACATGTCATCTGGTAATGCAGACAGGGACTATAATTAAAACTATTTTTCCATTACAAGAGAATGGCTGACTGAAGTATGGTTGAAACATACTGGCAGGAGACACTAACCTGCTATTATGCACTGCTTTCTATGACTATCTTCTTATGTAACTTAATCTCGTGGAAGGGATCCTCGCATAAGAATTGTGTAAATTGCTGTAAAATGGAAAAGACAGCCCTCTGCCCTAGGGAGTACAGCAAGTTTTTAGTGCTGTTCATTCTAAAGCAAAATTTGAGATAAAAATTTCTGAAGCATGGATTTGTTGAAGTGCAGGAGTATCAAAAGTATAATTACCAATCCCAATCTAAAATACAACATACGTGTTTGCTGGGAAAAAATTACTTCTAACAGCATTTATGTATTCATCCTCACAGAGTAACAAGAATTAACTTACATCATTTAGGCTTATGTTGTTTACTGATTCAAGTAGTAAACTATACAGGTGGCCAATAGCTTCTGCCCAGATCAATTCCACAAAATCACTAACTTCCTGACACATGACACTTGAATGGATGGCTTCTTCTAGAAGTAACTGTAGTAAAATAAACACAATTCAGTGAAAAGACAAAGATGCAAGTCATGGCAGTGAAGTTCTTACACAGATAATTAAAGTTTCCTATTCCCATAAACAATACAGTGCGCAATGCTCATTCATGCTTAGTGTAATTTCTTCAGTCCCATTAAACTGAAGGGAAGGTTTGCTTTTACAAATTCTTTCAAGTGGAGAGCATGGCAGGCCGGATGGCCCTGACCTCTCTTGGAAACTGAAACATGAAGTCTTGGAGAAGACAGAAGTTGATTTGCTTGATATCTTTATCAGTACACTGTACTATCAGGTACACGGACATAATAGTCTGCACACCCCAGCCATTTCCTTTTTTGCACAGCTGGTAGAAGAACAGATGGTTCAAAACGGCCAGTGTTTTATAACATCTCTAACAGATTACACTAGATCTCTAGTTCAGAAAGCTCTGGTGGGAAGGACATCATTCCTGTGAAAATAAAAAATTGGAGCAGCAAAGCTACAGGAGAATAGAGAGGCCATGAAAATCAGTGGAATTGATACATCAAAAAGAGTTGTGATAACAGATTTTCTCAGGTTCTTCTGAGGAACATTGTTAAAGCATTTACTTGAGCTTTTTCTCACTGTTCTACAACTCCAAAAGCTGCCATTAAACTTGATGCCATTAAACAATTCTCACATAAGTTTGGACATTCTACATTACTTGTTTATATGGCATCAACCACACAGCTTCTGAGAGCACCAGAGGACATATGTGGGCCTTTCAACATTGCTGGATATAATCCACGTGCCAGTTGTGCCCTACAATAGAAGCTAACCATGGTGGAACAGAGAAGTAGATAAAGTACAGTGAGAACATAAATGGAAAAAAATTTCTGTCACACTACAACCATTTTAAATAGCAGTAAAACATTGTCTGAAGAGTACTTTAGGGAGTAGAATCCAACTGCTATTGCCATTGGGGGCAGTCCTGTTACTGATTCCAATACGATCTACATCAAGCCTGTGACATCTGTATAGTGTGCAGAATAATTCAACAAAGTCATACATCACACAACAGTTCTGTTTGCTATATTAGCACTTCACTTTTTAGGTATCACATTAGTTGATAACGCATCTACTGAGAACAAAAAAACCCCTGTAATGAATAGGACTACGTTTGCTTTTAATGTGTTCAAGTACTGGGAACATTCACTCAATATTCTGAAAAAAAAAATTTTCAAAACATTTACATATAAACAGTTTCCCTTAACCTATGGCTGTATCACTGTAATCTAGACCTAGACAATTTTTACCACATTCAGAAAATTGGAAACTAAAACAAATCATTAAGGACAGAAAAGTGTAAACAAGCAAGTTGTACTAGCCTTTTGCAATTTTGTAGAAGCCAAAGATTCTGCTTCTGGTGGAAAAGTTTCTCTGAGCAAGAAATCCTGGCACTTCAAGTCTGCAATAAAAGTCTCATACTTTTCTCTTATTTCTTCAGCAGTATTAGTTTATTATTCTGTAAATTGAAAGAGTAAAGTTAGTCAAAGAAATTATGTAGAGACTTAAAGAATCAATTTTACCAGACACTGCTCTAACAGCTGACACTCCACACTTCACTTCTGCATTGTGATTTAACAGGCTTCCAGCAAGGCAGTGCTTTCATGAGGGTTCATGGGACACAAAGAACAAGCACAGGGCTCCATACACAAACCCCAGAGTGACAAGATAGGTTCATCTAAATGTGTGCTGGAGTAACTTGTTCTATCAATGGAACTATTCAAAATTCATCCCTGATACAGCTCCTTTGACTTGAATCTAATGTTATTGCAATGACACAGACTGCAAGTGCTATACCAGAGTGCATACATATGTATGCCCTACATGTGTATGCATTGTATGCTAAGAAATACATTTAGGCTGCCCTCAAGACATGCTTTTCTGTCTCACAATAATATGTCCAGAATATCACTCGCTATAGCATTTCAGCATGTAAACATGTCATTATAGAGTTTACATATTGCCAGGAAAAATATATGTGAGTACGAGGCAGGTGCATCCAGGACCACGCTGTGTTGCTGCCAAGTCCCAAAATAGTTCCTTTGAACAAGTTGTAAGCAAACACACAGAGTAGAGGAGCCAACTATAAATCAAATTTTTTATGATAAGGCTTAACAGAATGACCTCCTATTATCTATATCTAAGGATTAGCCTGCAAATAAGAATGAAAAGCATCTGAAGCTCTCTGGAACAGGTATGTTTAACGTGCATAAAGAAACAAACAGGTAATATCAATGAGTGGTTCATACCTTTGTTCCATTTGATGCACTGAAGTGTGCATATAGTCGAAACGGAAACTTGTAATGCTTTTGGGAACACTGGAATTCAATAACTACCAAATCTTTGCTTTCCTTGGAGTTAACCTAAATGGAGAGATAAATAAAGCCCCCCAGCCCCCAATTTATTGCTTAAGTATGTTTCATTCACATGATATTGCACCAAATACTTCCCCTTGTCCTACTTATTTTTTCACCCCATTTAGAACTACACACTGTGACTGGCTAAAACAAGAAGCAGAATTACTCATTATTTGTATCTCAGTAACAAGCAGAAGCTCCTCTCAGGGCTTCACTGTACTGATTGCTGTACCTTTCCATCATTTTTGTGTTTTGAAAGATTTTTAATATAAAAGTTTAAAATTTAAATTAGATTTAACACTTAACAGCCACGATAACATGTATGTTGTCAGAAGCAAACATACTATTCTACTGCAATACTTTGGTGAGAACACTACAACAATAACAGAAAAGTTTTATTTGGGTAGAATTAGGCTGCACTGCAAGACAGAAAGCATTAAAATACTTTTCAATACTCTTTGCACTGCAGTACATGATAACATAGAAGAGTTCCTGTTGATGTGTATAAAACTGTAAACCTTTTATTCATCTACTGATCCTCCTACATTCTCTCACAATAACAGAAAGGCTTACTTTTTCAAGGACACTGTATTTTGCAACTTCAAAATCTTGGGGGAAAAAAGGAATGTCTTGATCATTTTCACTGTAAAATCTGGAATGGAATCAGAGTAATTAAAATCACATATGCCCAGTAAATACTGTACTGTAATAGGCTGCTACATCATACTAGAGTAAGAATAATGTGAGAAGATAAATCTATTTTTCAGCAGCAAAATAACAACAAAAAAAGTTTTGAGAAATGAAATCCCACCCAGACAAGCTGCTGCACTAACAGGCCAGAATGTCTAGTGTGAACCTGAAGACGAAGACTAGATTTCAATCTTCATTCTTTAGAAAAACTATGGAAGCAACACAATAAATGTATTTTCATTGCCCGGTTACATGGTAATTTTTTAATAGCTTGGTCAGTTACCTGTGCTGTCTGAGGCTAATTCCTCCCTTATTCTGACTTTCATATTAGGATACATACATGTAGTCATATCCTTCAGCATCAGGACTTTTAGACCAAGTGTAACTTCTAGTACATAACCTACTCTATGACTGAACAGCAGTCTCTAAAAGTGAAAGCTGCGTTTTGTTAATAGATTTAAGAGTGTTGCAGCTGGTTCTGTTCCTTTAACTCAGTAATTAGAAACAGTTATAACAATACTGCTTCCCTATTAACTAAGAGCAGTCTTAGTTATCTTCATTTTCAGCTGTCCCATGAATTTTTATGGGAGAAAGAGCACTTCTAAAAACAATGAATCAGACTGGATTGCAAAAACCCGCATGAACCAAGAAAAGAAAAAAATTGTGATGATAAACAGAGCTCCAATCAGAAAATCATAAAGATGGAGCCATACTAATGCCTGCTGAGTTGGTAGAAGCTTTGCATGTATTAGGAAGGTGGACTGTAGGTGTATGCTGAGATGTAAAAATGTAAAATCAATTTCCAGTCAGATCCGAAGGTTTTTTAAAAAAAAAAAAAAAAAAAAGCCATTATAAAGTCATACACACAGAACACAGAAAATGAAGAAAGAATAATTTTATCTTTCACTACATTATTAAGATAATGACAGCCATCTTCAGAAGTCACTGAAATAGACTGGGAAGTGGTTTTTTTTGTTTGTTTTCGTTTTTTTTTTTCCAATTTACAGAAATATCAACATACATGTATCAAAACATATCTTTAATTTTATTTTACCTAAGAGTCCCCACTTTGGACTCAATTCCTCTCTCACTGTCTTCAATAATAGTAAGGTTGGAATCGTTGTTTTCATTTTTCTTTGTGGCATGTTTATTTTCAGCAGATGACAGGTCTTCCACATCTGCAATCAAAACATTTATTTACTTGGTATGATACCTGGTTTCTCTAATTTAACTTAAGAATAGTTAATAAAAACAATACTACTATCACAAATATTTTACATGTTGAACAAGTTAACAGCTTCTAAGATCACATTTTATTCAGCCGTATAACTGGCAGGATACGGAGTCAAGTATTGAAGGGCAACTGCCCCAACTGCCTCACTGCTAGAATTAGTACCTCCCTGGGCTATGCCAGTGCTTATTCCCTTCAGGCACTTCGCCACCCTGACTTCTGTGACAGGAAGGGGAAAAAGAATTAGGGCACGTAGCTGAGAGCTACACTGTGCTACTTGACCACAGACCCTGGGAACTATTCCTCCATGGCTCACGTTGGTTTTGGGGTTTTTTGTTTGGTTGGTTGGTTTGCCTTTTTTTTTTTTTTTAAGTGGTATAGATATAGTGTATGAATGCCGTTTTACTTTTAGCTTAAAACTACTTAGGATTGCTACTGAATGGATCTACCCAGCTTCAGCCATGCATGCCCACAGCCTCTGCTGTGCAAAATCAGATTTGTCTAACAGACTCAACGACACAGCAAACATACAATGCAGGGGTCCAGGATTCTCATTCTTACATATATTTCTGAAAATTGTACTGATTCCTGACATGAGAATGTTCATAAAATAAAATGTATTATGTCAAAAATACTTAAAGGAAAGACTAGCACCCAGCTAAATGCAAGAGATGTGAAAGTAAAAGGAAATAAAAAGCACAGTTACTAGGAAGAAAAAAAGAGAATTAAAACACTAATGAATTTAAGGATGATAATTTTTTGCTAACTGTACACATTAAATAGAATTATCTTTCTCATCTCTTTTGCACTTTTTTGTCTCACAGCATTAAAATGACCATTTGTCTTTTTTCTTCCTACACAGAGTTATAGTTGTTTGCATCTGAACCATGTTACGTATTTGAATGCTTGAAGTTCTTCTGTGTTAATTATGTTGCATTAAATATATCTAGCCCATGTTAACCTGTTCTCTAGCTATCTTATTTTCTCATAATTTTGACTTCAAAACATAACACTTCCTCATACAAAGGCACTGAAAACCCACGGCATTCTGTTGAAATCAACTAAAACTTCCAGGTTACTGTCATCTTTTTTCCAGTGGAGTCAAATAAAGACAGTGATTGGAGTAGCTTTTTTGTTATTTTTAATATTTTATCCACATTTCCAACATGAAGTCTTATTTGAAGTTTCATTAAAAGAAAAAAAAAAATCAATGGAAAGACTCCGCAGTATGGAACTAGCATTTCTTTTCCGAAAAATTCTAATTTTTTTATCAACTTTATTGCCAGTTTCAATGGTTGCTTGTTGGAAGACACATAATGAGCAATCC